GCAGCCATATTTATCTGCTTCCAATTTGTCCATGGCTTACTGTGGTTGCATACATAATTTAGACGTGGGCAAAAATTAGGATATGTTGCTTTTATGGATCGACCCTGTGGCTGGTACTTAAAGATCGAATAGAGTGAAGAAATGAATGGGTACCAAAACAGTCCACAACTTAACTATTCAGCCCATTAGATGCATTTGCAGGAAACATGTGCCAGTCCTCTCCGATATCACGCAGCATTAAATCCGAACTGAGTCAGGAAATGCGACAGTTTTCCTCCTGAAAAATCCCAAGGAGTTTTTTCACTGCTTATTTTTTTAAAGCAACTACGTACCACTTCATGACTTAGGAAAATTGGCCTCGCCAACAGACTGAGATACCATCTTTCTGCTACCACGACACACATGTACAAATAGGGAACTCAAAGGCCATCTACCTACATATCCCTTAAATAAACTGATACTGATGACTTTTAATAGCGGATCCTCCCAGCCGTAATAAATTTAAAAAATAACGACATAATTCATTTCACATAGTGTGTATTGTAGCCTAATTTCCTGTTTGTAGATCTTCAACGCATCTAAGCTGTGAGGGAAAAGTTAATCCATTGTGCTCATCAGGAGCCGAAAGTCTGTACATAGCGTGAAAATCGCCTGAGGCATAAACCTGTACTCTTATCCACCACGAACGCCAACGACTATAATCGATTCATAAACGCTCACCGATCGGTTACGCGAATTACACGTACCATTCTGCTTGCGGTTCATTCTCGAGCCCCATCATCAAGCGCACAACGGTTATTATTATAGGCCGATGAAGACAAGGAAGACTGAAGTCACAACTTCTGGCTTATTAACCGTCATCAATCAGCCATACCCAACTTCGGGTGGTGCAGCACTCGAGGCTCGAACCCGCGACCTGATGATTAGAAGTCCGACGCGCCACGGGCCCGTTTTCTTACCGGTTTAGATCGGGAATATGCACTATGATAGATGGGCGCTCACCGATCGGTTACGGGGT